ATTTATATTCACTACGTTTGTTTTTTAAAATGTTCTTGTTTCAGCTATTTGTAATCCACCATGCATGAATGGTGGAACCTGCAAAGTAATTGAGGGTGTTGCCACGTGTGACTGTACTAGAACCGCCTACACCGGCACTTCCTGTGAAACTGGTATTACTGTGTTTTATTGAACTACTGATGATTAATCCAAGTGTATTAGCTGGCTATAAATGACCTAGACTACTGTATAAACCAAGCCTGATATTAATTTATTTTGTTTGTTTGAAATTCATCATCATGTACACAGTGTATGTACTACAATATCTCAAAAAGAAGCCCATGCTATTTGAAAAGAAGCCCAAATTGCATTTTTTCTAGATGGGCTTCTTTTCGAAGCTACTTTTGCAAATCTAAAGAGGCGGTGGGAGGGGGAGGGGCTTCTATTCGAAAAAAAAGCTTCTTCTCGAGATTAAGCCCATTGAGCTTCTATTCGATGTTTTACAGTGTATTATTATAGTAACTCATTTATTTACATTGTGCAATAGATACAGAGTAGGCCCTGTTTGGCTGATTTTTTTTCTACTCGGCAATTTGGTCACCATCTGTCCTTGGTTTTATTCACACTTGGTTTTCTCACCATCCCACTATCCCTTTTCACTTCTTTCTCCTTTTCTTTCACTTCTTCCTCCTCCTCCTCTCCTCCTCCACCAATGTCTTCCATACAACATTCTCTTTACATAGAGTCCAATAACAGGGTGGGGAGTATGCACTCCTCCATAGCGGCTGCTCTAGTTTTATAAATTGTCTTATCAAAATATGCATCTATAATAATGTTCTGTTTTTAATTATTCTTGTTTTTTTTTTCTTTCTCTCTCAGTTCAGTGCGTTATTGCATGTAGCCCCAATGGAGTCTGTAAAATGACAAAAGAGTCAAAGTGTCAATTTATTTCCAATTGGAAGGAATCGAGCGACACTGGTGAGTGATTTAAATGAAGTACAGTATTAACTGATTAAGTTTTAATAAATCGAGTTATTACTATTGTTATTCTTATTATTCATATTCTCATTATCATCATCATCATATTATTATTATTATAAAATAATGAAAATAATAACAATTATAATAACAACAATTGCTAATAATAATGATAGTATTTAATGTTACTGTTATTATCATCATTGTTATCAATTTTCCTTTTATTCATTATTACTGTCTCTTGGATCCACTTAAATACTAAATGTCTTCAGACGTTCCTACCGTACCCACATTATCATTTAATTAAAATTAATGTAACAAAGATGTTTCTTAAGAGTGATGTTTTGCTCTAACTGACGTGTTCTCGTATACTCAGTACGCTCCCAAACAGTAGCTTAAAACAAATTGCAAGTGATTCGCCCCACGACCACCAGATAACTATTCAGATAACACGTCAGGTAGGGCAGGCCGTCACTCCTATGATAATTTTATGACTCACACAGCGAAATAAAGAGTGTGAATTTAAACCCTTGCTGTGTTCTCAGTCTGAAACTCTGCCTTGCCTTCCCGTGTGCATTGACCGGGTACCGTTCACACTCCTTGCGCTCCCCTAGCGTCTTCTTACTGATTGCTATTGTCCTTTACCCTTCCTGCACTAAATGCCGAATATGTTTATGCCTCTCAAACTTAATTCTTCGAGACAGAACTGCAATAGGCTACGAATCAAAACTGTGCAAAGAATACGTGCGTGTATCACAAATGCACGTGTTTTTATTTACTTTTACGTTGTTTTGTAGGACAATAAGGAGTTTTCGCAAAACACCTTTAAAAAAACTCCTTTAAAATAGTACATTAATAACACGATAATTTTATTCCATTTTCATTAAAATTTTTGCTTCTCTCTTGTATAGAGCATACACGACAAAGACGGTTTTCCGACCACCAAGGTACCGGAGGAAATGGTCAGTTTTAATAGCTTCTGTGTCCTCGATTGAGAGTAATATTGTTGTTTGATTAAATTAAACTTTAATCTTATGCTTAAATTTTTCAATTTTTTTTTTTTTTGTATTTTTGTGTAGGATTTAATTTTTTTTAAATAATTTTAATGTATACTGTATAAGGCTAATTTATTTATTGTATAGATTTTATTTTGAAAGTCACTTTAATTTTGCAATTTATATTCTATAGGCCTAATGTTATACTTTGCATTATTAATTTTGTACCAATTCAGTACTTGCACTGCATCTGCAATATAGCCTACAAATATACCTTGAATTTAAGTTTTTTTTTAAAGAAAACACTGCAATCACAACTTTATTATAACATAATTGGACCAACAGATCGTTTGACTTGAATACTCTGTATAAATAATTTAGTATTAGTAGTAATTTTCATGGTATTGTTATACAATATTAATATGTTTTACACTTGCATCTATCTGTTCTCTAGGCAATAACCCGAACATGAGGCAGTTATTTTTTGCAAAATCAATCCCATGTAACAACGCGTTGAAGTGTGGGGGAAGAAATGCTCCTGCCATACTATCAACGAAGGCGAAAAATGCGGTACAATGCTGCATTATATGCCTACGACACCACCCTCCGTGTGCATCAATTTCCTTTGAAAGAACCACAATGATTTGTAAACTCTGGCCTCTTTGGGGCCTCCCCCATCGTCCAAGTAGAAACACAGACTTCTACTCAATCAAGACAGAAG